ATGCAGGGTAGACCATGTTCTTGCTTGAACCTTTGGACAAGGCCACCGGTTTCTTTTAGGATTTGTTTCTGTGTTTTTTTGAGAATCTAGTTCTGCTCGGGCGTGGACGCCTTCACTCACGTAAACAAGGGTTTGTGGTGCGAGACCTCAAAGTGCAATAGAGATGTTCCACAAAAGGTCAGATTTGTGGCACTCCGTGCAGATTTCGCGGTTCTGGGGGTTGGGGGGGAGGGGCGCAGCGCCCCGCCCATTGGCACACAAAGCCACAGCTTTAAGCACCGTGTGTGCGCTGTGCTGCTTCAGGTGTGCTGCATGCAGCCAGTGTTGTGAGCACTATGCTGCTTCAGGTGGCCAACTTTCGAGTCTGTTTTCTTTGTGACTGCTGAGGCTGTTGTCTTCCCCATTAAGATGTAGAGTTGCCAATTGATAGTGGGTGACCGCTAGATTCTCAATCTGCGTGTTCTGGACAATGTAGCCCACCATAAGCCGCCAAAAGCCAACAGAAGCCACCCAAAGCCGCACGAAAGCCAACCGAGGTCACCAAAAGCTCCAAAAGCCAACAGAAGCCATCAAAAGCATGAGAAAAACAAGAAACAAAAAGAAGAGTGAAATACATTCCAAAAAAATACCAGTTCGCTTTGGGCAAACACTGCGTGTATGCCTGTCTTGTGTCCACGCACAGTGTTCAGAAATGGTTTGCTCATTGCCCTGATGTTGGAAAAGCAAAGACTTAGGCTCAAGCCAGTTGCAGATTACTAGTAACTAGTACAGTACAAGCAAGAACCCGGATTGCTTGATGGTCTCATTCAACCTAAGTGCTCGGGTTTTTTCAAGAGATCTGATTCCTTCGCCTGCGGCCTGCCCCAGAATACATACGCCTGATTTTTAGGGAAGAAAACGGTTGGGTTATGCCGACATACCTCAGTCCCACACAGTCCCAAACAGTTGAATCACACGGCCATTTGAACAAGTGTTCCTCTCAAACTGAGCTCCGTTTGAATCAGTGGAACACCAGCCTGGTGCGCACCTTCCACAACGTCCGCAACGTTGGCCAAGAGCAGCACATGGCGCGGCCATTCGCTCGACCCTGCGGCCATTCGCTCGACGCCCCCGTTGCTGGTCCAAGAGTCGGGGCCCTGTTTCGGCGTACGCGTCACTGGCGCCAACTGGGCCAGGTCTTTTCAGTGAAAAACATCCACCAGGTCTTTGCCTGCAGCACTGCAGAAGGGTGTTGGTGTTAGATGGCTCTTTGGTGTGGTGTGGTGGATTTTCACATGTGACGAGTCATTCAGTGGTGACAGTAAAAGCCGTGCCAAGCCTCAAAGGGGCTGCAGACCCAAACGGTTTAGGACGTTTTTTGGATGGAAACGATGCCAGCTGGTTGTGGATATCAGTTCATGACATGTCTCACAGTAAGTAACCCTCCACTTGTACCGCGGTACGGTATGTTACGCATCATTTGATGTGGTGGAATATCGGGCGGTCACGGTCCCACCCAATTTCCCGCTGCCCAAGTTGAGACCGATGAAGGAGTAAAACTCCGTCAACTGCTGTAGACACCCATTCGGCGCGATAGCTTCGCGCCGAATTAAAGTTTAACTCATGCATATTCCAGGTTCACTTGAGAATCGCAGTGACTACACTCTCCTTAGCCTCTTCAGCAGGCTTGTGAGACCTTCTTCTCTGCGAGAACACTTGTACACCCGGTCTGTTTGTCATCCCTGGGGCCTCTGTCTTTTCGAAGGGATCTGAGAACACCAGAGGGACGAGGGATTTGGAACTTCTAATCCAGGAGAACCATGTGGCAGTAACTCCACATTGGAAAATTTGTGTGTGTGTGTAACCCTCCTTCAAATCCTTTTGGGACATAACATTGCAGAAACATATATACATCTGAAACCAATCAAAACCTAAATCAATGGAAACAATTCAACACAGAGCTCAATCTCCAAAACGACTACACCCCCATCAACTCGCTGGATACATGATCCATACAGGGATGCTTCCCTTCCTCAGGCGCCATGTGTCTTTTTCGATGTGTCTTTGGCAAGAACCGCATGGGTGACCTCGGGCTCCAATAGGAGGCCAACATCATCTGCCTCTTCGTTGCTTCGACACCTAACCTACTCGTCGATCACACCTACTCGTCTTCGGAGTGGGCCGCTGAGTGATGCCCGCGTTGGGTGGCCGCGTTGGGTGTCCAGGAGTGTCTGGTAGACTGACCGTGCTGGTTGCTCTGGGACACTCAAAGCTGGGGATGTGAAGCGCAGGTCCGGATGTGACGCTCAGAACCGTGGGCACCGTCCCTCGTCAGTGCAGTGTCTCTATCGCACTGGTCAAAGTGATTTACAACGAGAATCGTCTCAAGACACTCCAAGTTCTTAATCCATCGACGTCCACTCATCAGGAACTAAGGGACATCAAAATGCAGCTGTTCCCTCTGATGTACATGGCACGCTCAGCTCTTCCTCGGCCATAGAGGAATTGCCCAGGAATTGACACCCAGGGTCGGCATCACGAGGCCATGCAGGCCGCGCTTCGGTCGCGTAGCTTCATGGCCGCGCTTCGGTCGCAACATGCTTCGGTCGCGTGGCCGATGTGAGAAACGCCGGACACGTCAAGCAAGCCTTGAAAGCTTAGGACCCGAATTGTACGCTTCTTGAAGAGCCTGTGCTCAAGCCAAACTTAAAGTTCTCAAGATTGCAAGGGGCTGCAAAGAATTTGAACGCTTGCGAGAAGTACAGCAGTTGAATCAAATCACCGTATTGAAACGAAACTAGATGGAGGGTGAGCTCCAGGTCAAAGGGGGGCACTCCATGTCTGGAACTTCACTCAAGCGCTTGAGTGACAGCTCCCTCATTTCAACTTTATGAAAACCAGCTCCGACTGTGGGCTCTCACAGTGAGACGCCCCAATCTAGGCATTCATAGGCCTTTTTCTTCGGTTGACCTCCCAGCTATATGGTCTATTCTGTTCAACGCCTACGAGCCCAAAAAACAAAGAACGTCCCGGTGCGAAGCCATCACCGGCTGCTTCATCTGCACTCCGGCAGTCGCGAGCGACGGCCGACCAGGGCGTCGGACGACGAGTGACGAGCCGCGAGTGACGAGCCACGAGGTGTGCGAAGGAAATGGAAGCGGCGCCTCGCAGCTTCTGGCGCCAACATGAGCTAGATAGTTCGTGTCAGTCCCTAGAGGCGCCAGGACGTTGATCTCATCGAATGCTGGCTTCGCCGATCTTTTCTCGCATATCAGGAACTGGAAAGGCAGGAAGATGTGGTTCTCTAACTTAACTGGCTCTAGAAAATCTCCTGGAGTCTAACAATCCATGAGAAAGCAGTGCTACGTGGTGGGGCTCAAATGCAACAGCTTACGTTTGTTCGAGGGCTCAAATCAACAGGAGTGGGGAGATGGGCCAGGAGCAAGCTTCTGAATCAAGAAAGGTGCCTCGACTGTTTGATTGTGGCATAACTCAGGTTTTCATCTGCATCTGTCGGCTCCAGCTGTGCTTCTCAACATCATCGCTTTTTACTTCACAGAGGCAAAGAGGGAACTCAACGTCTGGCAGCATTGGCAGTGTTGGACGAAGGCTTTGGTTCATACGCTTCCTTGAGTCACAGCAACGAAGCCTGCGAGGGCAAGGATCTTTCCAAACAAGCTCGGAGTCCACGCGGGCGGGTCTGGAAACGGGAGGCGCCCATCTCCACATCTGGCGACCAGCGTGGGCTGAAGAGTCACCCGCATTTGACCCAAACAACAGGTTTCTCTCTATGTTCCTTCTTCCAGGAAGTCTTTGGGAGGCCTCCATATTTTAATATGCAGCTAGATCCACCCATCCAAGGAAGAAGGGGATCGGATGAAATCCAGTGGAGTTGCATGACCTGAAGGGCCTCAGTGGTCAGTGCATATCTTCGTAAAGTCGGTTTGCTTTGGCAGGGTTGCAGTGCGCCCACTGATGCTGGTGTGTCTGAGATGTTGCTAAGGAACTATCAGCAGTAAACTATCTTCATTCATTCCTCGTAATTATAAGTATGTAATGGTATAGAAACACTTCTCCCTCCTCAAGCCCTTGTCGTAAGGACTGCAAGCCAAGACGTGACAGCGAACTGGAAGCCATCTGCGGGAACGTTGCGCTCGCCTTCTGTCAGAGTGTAAAACAAGACGTGGAGTGGAGTGCTGCAGGACCCGTGACAAGGACGTCTTGCAGCACTGCATTTCGTCGTCGGCACATGGATTCAAACAAGGGACGCTCCTCCCAATTCAAACAAGCACGCGACTGCAAAGGCGAGAAATGGCCAGCCAGATGGGGCCTCAATCAACATCCATGCGCGAGACATGACACTGAACTTCATAGCATTTCATGCCAATGAAAGCACTGCTCTCGTCAGGGGGAAATCACTAGAGCCCTGCTCTGGAGCCGCCCAGCGGTTTTTGCTAGGTCTTCTTGTGATGTCTCCGCGTGATGTCTCCGTCTGAACGACACATCACGAATCGGTGTCGGGGATCACCTCCCCTATTAGAAGCAGAACTTCCACTGGAAAGAAACAAAAGAGCTGCTAAGTACTCAGCGCACTTGTGTGAAAGAAGAGGCATCAACGTGTCAGTCTTGTGCACAAGATGAGGTTCCCAGATCTCAAGTCCAAGCTGTTGGCATGCACAAGCCCTGTGAGAAAATGGCCCTGCTCTCGTGGCCTTTTTGGAGTTCAACGGCCAAGTGGCATTGCTCTCGTCATGGGGAAATCAAACCAGAGCCCTGCTCTGGAGCCGCCCTGAACCCTTGTCCCGTCTTCTTTTGTGCCGCGTGATGTCTCTGTCTGAACGACACCGGGAATTGGTGTCGGGGATCACCTCAGCCTCAGTGGGTAGGCATCACGAGACCCAAGATGAGATTCCCAGATCTCAAGTCCAAGCTGTTGGCATGCACAAAACTGTGAGAATGGCCCTGCTCTCGTGGCCTTTTTGGAGTTCCACTTGAGTGGCCACCAGACCAGGAGAACTTGCTCAATTGGCCCAAGTCCAAGCAGCTCCCATGATGTTCGACTTCAAACTGCGCACACACCGCGTGGCCGAGTGGCACGCGGCGCTGCTCCGACTCGCGTCGTGTTCGCACACCGTCACCGAGGTTCGGCCACAGAGACCGGTCTGGCGAAAGAAAGGGCAAGGGAGGCCGCCAAGCGGCGGCGTCAAGACACACGGGTCGCCGCGCGAGCCAAGATCTTTCGACTCGATTTTTGGAGGCAGCTCACTTGGAAAAGCTTGGAAAAGCCAAGGCAAAGTTGGGTGGATTGTGGAGCAGGAAAGAAGAGGTGTCATTTGAAGCGGTGCGTTGGTCGGTGTCACCACGGGCCGCCACTGCTTAACAAGGCTCCTATTTCCTGAAAATGTGCGAGGTGCCAGTGAATGCCTTCATCAAAAAAACACAGCTATTCAGCTATTCCTGGAATCTGTCCATTCATCACAGCAATAATAGAAAATGGAGGTCTGGATAGTCAAGACTTGCGAGAAGGGCACCCAAACGATAGCAGCATTGCTTTGCTTGGGTATGATGGTGTTCTCTCTTTGCCAATGCCATGTTCACTTCTCAAACAAGTTCAGGAGTAAGGCCTTCTGTCATGCATTCAAAGCAGTCTCGGGAAGCACATGCGTTCGCATCCCAAATTTGTCAGTGTCAAGCCAGGCCTCAAGAAGAAGTCGTTCGACCGGGCTGGCACAGCGACAGCCAGGCATCCTTCCCTCTGCAAAATCCATGTTTTCTACTTCAAATGACTCTCCAACATCCTTTCATCATTTCCATCTGGGACAAACCCTCACAGCCCAAACTGGACTTGATGTACGTAGTCTGCAGGCGAAGGTTGAAATCCAAGAAATGGCCCGTCTGTCTGCTGCGCGGGGCATACATACATCTGTCTGCAGCACGCGGATGCCCCAGAAGCGCCAACAGCTTGCGCTCGCGAATGGTCGGACACTGCGTCAGATGTGCATAGCTGTGGGTCATGGCACCCGGACCCTTAATGCGTAGACATTCCCTAGATGTCTTATTGGTCGAAGGGAAAACCACTGGGTCCGTGTCTTCCATCGCTTCAAACAACATCCGCCAACTGCGTGATGTCTGAGCTTGGGAATAGAGGGGTCGATGCCTATTGGTTCTTTATTCCACGAAACTTCCACGAATAGCCCCAGGTTCCACGAATGTCCGGGGCCTTTTACGAAGTTACTGTAGTAGAATTGGTTTTTGCAAAGCCCTTTCTGTGCACTACCCTTCCGTTTGTCTCTGACTGACAGCATCTCTGCTAGCCGGAGAGAAACCTGGTCCAAGAGGCTGCAGGCCTCTTTCCAAAGCTTCACCTAGTACAACTTACAGTATGCCCATTCCAATGGCACGTTCCTACTCTATCGGATACCCTCACCTTAGTCTGCACCCATCAGTGTCGACCCCTGCGGAGCGCCAGTCCGCTCGTTCTGCTTGATCGAAAACACACGGTTCACTTCTGCACATCCCATAATCAGGCCGCGAAATGTTGACAAACGTCAGTCTTCCGACATCAGGTTGCCACTTTAGCTCTTCCAGCCATCTTCCAATCATCCAGTCCCTTTTGCTGCTGAGATTCATTGAAGAAGCACTGAGTTTGGGCAGAAGAATAGTCTTGAAGAATCCGCAATCTTTAAGTCATAAAGATATCTTTAAGTCATAAGTGCATCTACCTAGATCAAAGCCCTGGAAAGTGACATGATGAAATCTCCTGACCCTTCTGGCACCAAGTGGCGTTCGGACAACCGCCATAATAAACACACATGCACGGAGAAAAAGAAGCAAGTCGGTCACCACTCAGTCCACGACTTTCTTGGGAGTGGGGATCTGGAAGCCTCTTCCGGAATGGCCTCCCAACATGAATAGCGATGGCCTCCAACCTAACAGCGGTGGCCTCCAACTCAAAAGGGTCCCTTCTTCACAACCTGACATGCTTGTCCCGTCTTCTTTTGTGCCGTGTGATGTCTCTGAACGACACTGGGAATCGGTGTTGGGGATCTTTCAGCCTCAGTGGGGGACGCATCACGAGACACAAGATGAGGTTCATAGATCTCAAGTCCATCATGGTTCGCACCCCAGATAGGACCCTTCGGCCACTGACCAGGCGCTTGGGGAAAGCCTTTTCCAGAGGTGGGGGCGTCGTCGATCGACGCCCAAAATCGCTTTCGGTCATTCCCTCGAAGTCCCAAGAATGCATCGAAACCGAGGGCGACCAAGGGCGACCCGCGCCCGGGCCATTAAAGCATGGCATGGCGGTTCATGGCATGGCATGGCGAGACAAACAGGTCGACTGCTTTTTCGGTGAAGTGAAGGAACTTCGCTACTGCGAATGATCAGAAGTTCGTCCCGCTCTCTGAGCGACCAGGGCGCCCTGATGTTCTTTGCCCCGCTCAAGAGCCGTCCATCCTCATCAAGAATGGTCATGACCTTACCTCACCCCAGCTGAAGGCGCTCGTGCGGAGGACGTGCGGGGAGGAGGCGCACAGAGGACGCCATGTCCTCGAAAGAATGGGATGGCCACATGAAATGTTCCTAGTAGCGATGGCCTCCACCTAATAGCGTCCTCATGATCTCTCGTCAATGCAAGTCAAAGTCTACATTTCAATTTATCGTGACCCCCGGAAGGACAACGAACCCTCCATCTGAAAAGATGCTTTGGACACCGTTGCTACCGTTTTGGGAACCTCGTTTACAGCGCAGATAAGTTCCTAACCTAGAACGCAGCGCCGAAAATGTGTGTCTTAGATGGCTTCTACAGCGAGAGGAATCTGGTTGATCCGGGTGCTTGCCAAGAGCACCCATCAAATTGCCCTACTTGAAAGGAGGGATTGAGGAGAAAATATGTTTTCGCATGGTGTCTGTTTTCATTGGCCCGGCACATGTCAAGAATGCAAAGCTTGGCATCCTTTTTGGGTGAAGGATGAGACGAAAGATGTTGCCTAGATCACCGAAGGCTCCACTTCTCGCATACGATCCTTGGGATCGAGTTTGGGTGTTCTTGGAGCCTGGATAAAGCTCGAATCTAGTTGAGCACAAGAGTTTTACCACCCAGACGCGACCATGGACCCGAACCAACTCCTACCTGTTTGAGGTCCAAAACCCTAGTTGTGTGGGTCAAACCCGGACCTGAGGCTCCACAAAGGTGGAGAAGGCGGAGGCGACTCGACGGCACACCAAGTAGGCCGCCGGACTCGCTCTGTGGGCAAGCAGGCACAACGAGAGGTCGATGGGATCACCCATCAAGACTGACGGGATCGAGGTCATGAGGAGACAGGCGGAGGCTTCATCGACCAAGGCTTCATCGAAGCATCCAGATCCGCACCAAGGCTTCATCGGGTTTCTCTCCACGGTCCGCGTTCGCTCAGAAATTCTCCACAGCCTGCATCTCCGATGTCTCCGATGTCTCGGAAGCTTCCCCTTTACAGATTGCCTCAAGACAACAATGCAAACACTCTTTGGTGGCCAAGTACGACTGACGCCAACCACTCGGGAATCGATCCGGAATCCCGCCGCGCCCGACGACCCGCCCCCCCTTCCGACCGGAGCAGCGCTTCATCGGCACGGAGTGAACTTGGAAGACTCAGAGGGAGCAGTTCGACGAGACCTCCAGGCCCCAGAGCACTTCTAGACCTCCAGGCCTCGGACGGAGAGCGTCCGATCGTCCTTGTCAAGTGGTCGATTCGACGCGGACGCCGTTCCGATCGGGTCGCCGAGAGAGACCCGAACAGTCGATATGGTGCTGTCGTTCAGTGCTTCGAAAGGGTTCTGGCCGAAGGGTTCCGACACAAGACCTCCAATCGTGGTGGAGTTGCGCGACGTACCTTGCAACTGAGATGAGTTGCGCAGTACCAGACCTCCCGTCGGCCGAGCGCCATCGAGACCCAGCAAAGAGAGTTTTCCTCACAGCGAATGCCAGCACTCCTGCTACTGCTTCTGTCAAAGCAAAGAGTGTGGAAAAACAAGGTCTGCTTCTGGCGGAAGGACTCCATGCAGAGTACAAGTTCCAACCAAATCACCTGAGCTACCTCTGAGTGCAGCAGCTCGATCTTGGCACTAGACCTGAGATGTCCCTAGAACATTCATACTCCATCCTGTTTGACTCCAGCACACTGCCGTTGGCACACAAACTTGGACGGCCTTTCACGGACAGTCGCTCCCGGGACCAAAGAAACCTGTTTTAAAGCATGTTTTCTCTCATGTCTTGGCTTTAACTCAAGAGCCCTGATTTCTTCCAAAGCCTTCGACGGCCAGTCTTCACCTCCGGCCGGCCGCGGCCGCGAAGACTTCGAGTGCCACTGGGCAGCCGATTCGGAGACGTCCAGGCTGAACGATTGAATGACCTTGAAGGGGTTTTACTGAACCATTGTTTCACTATAAGGATTCAAGACACCAGGTCCACCGTCCATCTTTGTCAGGCCAGTCTTGAGTTGCCAAACCCCAGCCGCGCCTCGATCGAAGACGAGCCGCGGCGACCCGCGGCACCGTGCAGATCGTGATCAGGTTCGGGTGGTGCAAAAGAATCAGAAGTGGGTTTGGGCCAAGCCTTGCCTGCAAAGCAAAGCACGCACACTGAAGCAAACACACTAGCACTACCTATATTCATTGCAAAAACTCATGGAAGAGAAAGTTCCCATGATCGCCAGTTGCGATTTCTGGCGATCTCTTCCCCTTCGGTCAGCTCCGATTTCCTTCGCACGTGCAGCGCTTGCACGTGCAGGCCAGCTCGCCACCAGGTTTGGGTCTCAAAGCTGCAAGGTGCCAAAGATTGGTCAACCCTTCAACCCAGGTTGACCTCTGTTTGTGATTGGACAAATAAAACACAACAGGGTTGTGGTTTTCTTGACCTCTATTTTTGACCTCTGTTGTGATTGACCTCTGTTGGGTTGGTTTGGGTTGGTTGGGTGGGCCATAATAGAGGTCACGACCAGGTTCCAGGAAGCGACACACGGGAGCACATCTTCAGACCGACTAGGAGGTGTCGAAGCGCCAGGAAGACCTCTCCAGCCCACCGAACGGCCAAGGCCAACAAGGCCCATGGTGAGACGTTCGGCTCACACATGTCACACCGAAGCATTCGAGTGAGTCATGCGTGGTTCCATGCGTGTTTCGTGCTGTCATCCTAGATGTTTCGTGCTGTCATCCTAGATGTTTCGTGCTGTCATCCTAGATGTTTGAGGGCCACCGACCCTCTGCACCTCTGCAACCCGATGGGACTCACCTGCTGGAATCGCCGATGGGACTGCTCGTCCATGTCCTGCCTTTCTGGAGGTCAGGAATCTGCCTTTCACAGCTTTCCGCCGGCCTGAAGCTCGAGTTCCGCTCGAAAGCAGCGGTAAGCAGTTGGTCAAGTACACCAATGAGTGCACAGCTTTGCTACTTGGCCCTTTCACTTGCCCCTTTGATTCTAGTGCCTATGAATTCTTCAATTGAAACGCGAAAAAGCCAATGAAAGGCCTTCCAATGTTGACAGGCTCTCGGCATTTATCTGCACCACTTGCACTTACAGGTCTGGAAAACGACTCTACGATGAGGTGCGCGACCCAGCGAAGCTGTTTGGGACTCACTAAACCAAATGCCAGGTCTCTCAGGTATTCCTCCCACCTGCCACATACCCGCAGGCAGAAGCCGAGTCTACTCCGGTTGCCCGAAGCCAATCTGCAACAAAAGCACGTTGAGGCTTCCAGTGCAGTTCCTGTTGATGTTCGGTTCCGACGCACATCGCTGTGAACGATCGACAATCATGACGTGAGGCGCGAAACGAAAGCCTTGGCTTCTGCATTGTGGTGTGGACTGACTCCGCTACAAAGGAGCTGTCACAGCAGATTGGGCCGACGAAGTTGCTGGGTGGAAAGCCGTGTGGCAAAGGTGGTCTCAAAAGGCACCTTGATGTTTCTTTTGAAACAAGAATACGGTTGGCAAAATGCAATCTTGTTCTTTTGTTCCACTCAGTGCACCTTGTTACAAAGAGCTGGTTGATGTGTCTTTTTCCGGCACTTCGGCCGGTCACCCGATGCTTTCCGCCTCACGCGACTCACGTGACTCGCAATGCGATGGCTGGCATT